AAATTTGTATACAAAGACCTACACACTGAAAACAGCAAAACACTGCTTTAATTAAGGAAGACCTAAATAAATGGAAAGACATATCATGCAGATAGATTGAAAGACTTGATATTGTTAAGTCAACTCTCTCCAAAATAGTCTATAGATTTAACACAATCCTGGTCAAAATTCCAGTAGACTCTTTTGTAAAAATTGTTGAATTAATTCTAAAATTTATATGAAAATGCTAAAGACATAGAATAGTGAAAGCAATTTTGAAAAAGAAGAATAAAGTTGGAGGACCCACACTACCTGATGTCAAGTTAATATAAAGCTAAAGTAATCAATACATATAATATATATAACATATGTGTATATATTATAAAGCTAGGTAATCAAAATAATGATAGACATATAAATCAAATGAACAGAATAGAGACCTCAGAAATTGACCCACATATATATCATCAATTGATTTTTGAGAAACGTACCAAAGTTATTTCAATGTAGAGAGAATGGATAGACATATGTAAAACCTTAACCTCCAACGTTATCTCATACCATATGCAAAACATTAACTCAAAATGGATCACGGGCCTAAATGTAAGCGCGAAAACTATCAAATTTCCAAAAGAAAACAACGGAGAAATCACTTGTGACCCTGTGTTAGACAACGATCTCTTAGATAGGACTCAAAAAGCATGAGTTAAAGAAGAAAAATTTCATAAGTTGAACAACATCAAAGTTAAAAACCTTTCCTCTTCGGAAGTCATTATTAAGAACATGAAGGGGCCGCCCGGTGGCTTAGCAGTTAAGGCACGCTCTCCGCTACTGGCGGCCCGGGTTCGGATCCCAGGCGCGCACCGACGCACCGCTTCTCCGGCCATGCTGAGGCCGCATCCCACAAACAGCAACTACAAAGACGTGCAACTATGACATACAACTATCTACTGGGGCTTCGGGGAAGAAAAAAAGGAGGAGGATTGGCAATAGATGTTAGCTTAGAGCCGGTCTCCCTCAGCAAAAAGAGGAGGATTAGCACGGATGTTAGCTCGCGGCTGATCTCCCTCACAAAAAAAATAAATAAAATAACATGAAAAGACAAGTTACAGACTGGGAAAAAATATTTCAAAACATGTGTCTGATAAAGGATTTGTATTCAGAATACATAAAAATAACTTGTTCAATTCAATACCAAGAAGACAAATAACCTAATAAAAAATGGACAAAAGATGAGAACAGATGCTTTATCAAAGAATATGTACAAATGATGAATACACACATGAAAAGATGCTCAACTTCATTAGTCATTAGGGAAATGTAAGTTAACGCTGCAAATGAGGAACCACTACACAACCCTAGAATGGCTAAAATGAAACAGAGCCAAGCCAGTGTTAGCAAGAATGTAGCTCAACTGCAACTTATAAATAACTGTTGGGAACACAACGTGGTAGAGTCAATTTGGAAAACAGATGCATCAAAATTTAGTTTCTTCTGCTCGTCAAAAGCCACTGTTAAGGAAATGAAAAGACAAGCCATAGACTAGGAGGAAATTTTCCAAATACATACTATATCTGACAAAGTACTCAATCCAGATTATACAAAGAATTTCTACAAGTCAATAATAAAAAGACAAGCAATCCAATAAAAATGGGTTAAAAACTCAGATAGTGAGGACTAAGTGGAAGATGGCAAGAGGGAACTTTTAGGGGGTGGGGGAAATGTTCTATATCTTGGGGTTGGGGTAATGGTTACCTAAGCATTTAAATTTATCAAAACATCAATTTGTTCACATAAAATCTGTGGATTTCACTATATGTAAATTATGCCTCAATTTTAGCAAACTAAAATTATACATTAGAGTTATACTATGCCTTGATTTACTCTTTTATTTAATCTACCTGCATTTCAGCTTATAATAATCTTGGTTTCATTCTGTTTCCATACTGGTATATGAAAGAACTTTGTAAAGTATAAAGTACTATAGTGGTATAAAGTAGTATGAATGCTACTTCAATAAAATACTTCTTACGTGTCCTAAAATCACCTCTTGTGAGTTTCAAGAGGTGTCTCTTGTTTCTAGTGATCTAAGGTTTAATGGAAAAATTCATTATTTATCCTATCCATGTCCTTTGTGACAATACTCCCAAAAAAATACCCCTATTGGGGCTGGCCCGGTGGTGCAAGCGGTTAAGTGCTTGTGCTCTGCTTCGGTGGCCCGGGGTTCGCAGGTTCGGATCCCAGGCGCGCACCGACACAGCCCTTGTCAAGCCATGCTGTGGCAGCATCCCATACAACATAGAGGAAGATGGGCAGGAATGTTAGCCCAGGGCCAATCTTCCTTAGCAAAAAAAAAGGAGGAGGATTGGCATCGGATGTTAACTTCCTCACAAAAAAAAAAGAAACCCTATTAGTCTGCTTCATTCTTTCTTCAAGTTCTCTCAGTTCTTTAATAAAATTAGGTATTCTGTTCCACACTATTTTTACATTTATACATAATATCTTAGTGATGAATGGGCTTCAGCATGATATTTTCAACATCCTTCCCAATAAGGATCAACCATGTATTTACCGACCTTTGTGGCTATAAGAGCACATTGGGCTGATGTCTTTAGGAGTTTCCTAAATCTTTTATTTGTTCATAATTGTTAATTTTGCATCTATGCTGCTTAGGAACATACTTTAATAATGTCCCTCTAATTCTAGCTCCTCTGCCCCATTAAGGCCACAGGTCTCTTGATCTGCAGTCATCTGCTAGCCCCTCTCTGAGTGTACGTCACCACCAGTTCCTGCCCCCAGCAAGCCAGCAGCTGTCTTTCAGTTGCTGGTGCCCTTATTACTCTAGTCTGACTTCCCGGATATCTTACCTTGCCTGACTTCCTAGATGCCAGACCACCTAACATACTTCTGATCACAGTTTACTATGACTGCCTGCCCCCTGAACCCATTTACCCACTTTGACACACTTTGGAGATCATTAGCACCTGAGTTCCTTGACTGTCACTGTCATTTCAATACCAGAAGAGACCCTGTGCACTGTACTCTCCACTGCCCAGTGGTACAAGTCCTTAAAGCTCTGTCAGGTTACAGCATCAATAACTGACAGGAATATTGGAAGAATAAAAACTGGCTTCCATCTTTTAAGAAGTCTCAGCTAATATATTTTTAATGAAGCCCATCGAATTTTAATCCAATGTAATGAATAAAAATAGATCAAAGTCTATGTTAAAATGAAAGACAATAATGAGAAAAGAAAGGAGAGTCAGAAATGAAGAGTAACAGAGACAGGCAGGGGAAGAAATAAAAGAGACAAGGAGGCAGAGAAACACAAAGTGAGGAGAGAGACCGAGACGATGAGAGAAATAGAGAAACACAAGGGAAGAGCTGACAGAGAGAGGAAAAAATAGAGAAATGAGGAAGAAATGTGGAGAGAGAAAATCAGACAGAGGCAGAGGGAGGCAGAAGAGACAGAGAGATGAAGGATCCTCGGACAGAAAAAGGAAGAGAGAGGAGCCAGGCCACTCTTCTCTGTCTCCCCCTCTGATCATCATCCCTTCTGAAAAAAGACATAATCAAAAACAAAAAAAACTACACAAGCTCCAAATCTAACTCATATCTACTTGGCTGTATTGGGAATGGTGACCTGGGGTTTCAATTTCAATGAGTGCGTGGAGAAAGGATGGACGTTAGTAGCACACACACACTCACAAAAAGCCAGTGCCTCTCTAGCATCCCACTTTCTGCTCCTACATCCTTTCTCAAGTTGGTTTGAGAATTATCCACATTGCACAGAAGAAATTGAATCTAATGAGGCGAAGACTTCTGAACCACGGGAAGGAACCTGGACAGCTCTATGCCTTCCTCCCCGCCCCAAGCCCCAAAGAACATCCTTCGAGGAGCGCAAGGACTTTTCCTTCTTGTCCTTGCTCAGAATACTCTCCACCCTCTCTGAGAAAATAACCCATCCTTCAAGTCCCAACCCCAACTTGTTCAGGGACAGAGTCTTGTCCACCTCTGTCATTGAGCATGCAGCATAGAGCCTGTGACACAAAAGTCATCAGTAAGTGTTAATTGAACAAATATATGCTGGTTCTACACATATATGTATATACGCACATACATATATAGACATATTTACAATTCATATCGCATGAACTTTTATAAAGAAGTTTGTTCATAGCACAGCACTAAACAAAAATGTTCTCCTAGTAACTTTCCTCTAAATCTGTTCTGCCTCCAGGGTTCTCAACCTCATTGATGTCATCATCACCTAAATTACTACAAACCCCATCTACAAACTCTCTCATCTAATCAGTAAAGCCTGTTGATCTTATCTTTTAAACCTCTCCTAATTTATCCCCCATGTCGTCCATTCACATGTCAAAAGAAAAATCAAACCCTCCTGAATGGCATCCCTAAGCTTTTCCATCCCCCACATTGTTGCCAGTAACCTTTCTAATCAAGTCATATTCTTCATGAGACATCTTCAAGAGAAATCCATAAGGAAATAACTCTACAATCCTTCAGAATTAACATCAAATTTCCTATTTTGGTACTGAGAACTTTCCCAGTTATACCCAACTACCTCCTCATAATCATTTCCCACCACTTTCTCTCCCTATCTCTAACCACATGAAATTGCTCATCAGTCCCTAAACCCTTCTGTTTTTCCCCTCCACCAGGCCTCTTCCCATAGACATTCACATTTACTTTCCTTTCCCTTTTCCACATCTAGATCTTTGACAACTCAGTTCAAATTACATCTTGTTCCTTAACCTGATAATCATCCCTAGGGAGAGTTAGTCACTCTTGTCTCCAATTTCCAATGCACATGAAAAATATATGTATTATAGCTCATATCATAGCGTATGGCAATGATTTAAGTATCTTTCTTCTCCATTAATTATGAGTTGTGCAAATGCAGATACAGTCTCAGTAACTTTTGTAAGTATCCCAGGGCTTAGCACAGAGCCTGTGCAGAAGAGGGACTCAACAACTACGTGAAGAATAAGTAAACATACCTTTCTGTGCTTTAATTAGTTGTTTTCCAATTTCTAGTGTCACAAAGGCTGTACCATTTAGAACTATGTCGATTATGGTCTTCCAAGCATTAGGAGAGAGTCTTTCAGTGGGAGAAATAAAATTCCCTGCTGCATTGTTTATCACAATCTAATAAATGAATAAGACAAGTGATAAAAACTTTTAGATGAGGAAGAACATTTTCCCTCAAGGGCTTTTATTTCTGAAACTTATTAATCCAAATAATACAATAAAGCTCATGTTCATAGTCTGTTAGGAAACAATACCATGAGATTTGGTTTGATTTTACTTTTTTTGAGCCTGTGAAAATCTCCTTTGCTATTTACCAAGTTTCAGAATCCTAATCCCTGTCTCAAAATTAGGGTAGAGTCTATTATTAAGAATATAAATACAAGTTAAGCTTATCTACCATGTGACTACACTTTATTTCAAGGAATCTCAATTAAAATGCCTTTAATTTCTGGTGTCATTCTGGCTTAACTTACCCAATGAAGCTCTTGGTTGATGACCTGTTCCTTCCCTATCAATAAAGATTCCACTTAGTTCTATAACAGATTCTGTATTATTGGTCTGTTTGAAACTATCTTTAACATAAAAAAGTGCTCTCTTTGAGACTACTGGAGGAAATGGCTTCTTTCCGATATGTGAACCAAACAACAGCTAACTACTCATGCATATCTCAGGTCTTAAAAGGCGAAATCTGGAGTTTCTTGTAGGTTTCCTTGTTTGTATCAGGCTCCTCCACTGACAGAGATAATCAAAAGTTATTAAGAAAAGCAAAGAGCATGAATCATTTAAACTAGATATTGTGGTCTTGGATAACTGCTCTTCTTATTTCATAATCTTATTAAATAAAGTGAAATCAAATTTGTTCTATATGATTGTAAATGCATGTTTTAAGTATTCCTGAAAGGAAATGGTATAGCAACCTGTTCTGATCTGTTCCCTGCTTTAAGCAGAGCTGGCTTTTTGCTAGGGAGAGAAAATAGGTGCATCTCAACACAGCACCTGCTCACATCAGTATTTTATTTCCTTAGTGCATCTTGGTGGGAGTTATCAACATCAAACAGCTCTTGCTTCGGCTGCATCACCATCATACTTACATCAGGATGTCCCACGACTTTGATCAGTTCCGACACAGTGTTTTGCACCATCTCAGGATCCCTCACATCACACTGAATTGCATGAACCTGCAAAATAACAAAAAGAAAAAAGAATCCCACATTGTTCAGACTCCCTAAACCAAAAACATGAGTAAATTATTTATGCATAATTCCTAAATCTGATTTAAATAACTGTTTTTGATGTACCTTATTTCCAGTTTGAGAAGAAATCTGATCTGCAGTAGCTTTCAAAACATCAATCTTTCTAGAAATAAACACATGATATTTTGCATAAGTTCTGAAATAACTTCATATTATACTTTTGCTTAAAGAGCTTAAAGAGATGTATTTTTGAGAAAATATGAAAGCTATATTTACAAACAAATCAGTTTGAATGAATTCATTTTCTAAAAGTTAAATTCAAACAATTTTTATACAGCATCTGATTCTAATTTATTGAATTATTTACCTTTAAACTAGTTAATTTATATCTACTCATAGATTTAATATTATTTCCTTAATTACAATGGTTTCTATCTGCTTCCTTGCCCAAGCCTGCTTTAGAAAGAAAACACACTCATGATATAACGTAGGCTTATATTATATATAAAATCTATGTTATATATAAAATCTATTTTAGTAGATTTTAGACCAAATTGATGGGTTTGGACAACTTATATGCATTCAGAATCTTATCCTCTTGAAAGAAACACAAAAAATAAACCATGTAAATCATGTAGTGTTACAAAGAAAATAACATGTTAACACTCTTAAAAACATTACAACATAAAAACAAAAATGTTCTGGCCAATTTGCATTAAAGGGAACATCTGAAAGAAATTCCTTTGGCCCTTTGTAAATTACATAGTGACTTGTCATTCAGATTACTACTGGCCTATCTAAAAATTTTACACTATTCAAAACTGGAGGAAGGGTAGATTTTTTTACTAGTCTCTAAAGCTCTAGACTTGCACAGTTATAGGGTACCAGGATATACCTAAATAAGAAGAAATTTCTTCCACATGGTCTTACTCTTCCTACATTCATCACAACAATAGATATTTTGAAATATCTGCCCACCTTATAGAAAATGGAAGGATTATATCCATTATCCCGCTACAATGTTACCTATTGAAGCAGTAATTATAATCACTCCCACTGAAAACAAAGCAGCCTCATTGTACTACTTTTTAACCTCATCTTCACACAGAAAAAAAGTTCTATTACTGAATGTACAAAATGTATACGAAATGTATAAATCATCAGTTCCATAATCAACCATTTCTATTATCACAAATTGTAACTGACTTTTTCCAAGGAGATTTATTTAAATAATCTAAAGGATATTCAGAGATCAAGATGCAAATCAAACAACTCTGGCAAACAGTGTTTTCAATATGGCAGCACAAAACGTTTTCATCAATAGACTCTCACCAGGCAACTGCTGAGACTGACTTACCGGCTGGCTATCACACAGTGAGCCCCTAGGCTGGACAGAAGAGTTGTCATTCCTTTACCAAGGCCAGTACCTCCCCCGGTAATGAACACCACTTTTCCTTGAAAACTATTAGGTGGTAGCATCGCGTTTTGAAGGGGTGGAAAGAATTTGGACTGAAAAGCTTCAATGTTTTGATATAATATTTTCATTCCATAACTGAAAAACTAAACAGAAAAAAAAATGAATTGAAAGTTGCATACATGTTTTCCCACAGAAGAGATGAATTTTTAAAAACTTCAATAGTAATCAAATTCTTGGACTAACAAACTCACTGTAAACATACTGGTATTGTATTTAATCAATTATTACTCTTTTTCTATTGGAATGTTAAGTAACATAGCGGAATGGTTAAAAGCATGGGCTTAGGGCCTGCCCAGTGGCGTAGTGGTGAAGTTCGTGCACTCCACTTCAGTGGCCCGGGGTTCACAGGTTCGAATCCCAGGTGCGGACCAATGCACCACTCAGCAAGTCATAGCTGTGGTAGCATCCCATATACAAAATAGAGGAAGATGGGCACAGATGTTAGCTCAGAGCTAATCTTCCTCAGCGAAAAAGAGGAGTATTGGCAATGGACGTTAGCTCAGAGCCAGTCTCCCTCACCAAAAAAAAAAACCATGGGCTTTGGAACTAGACTACATAGGATAGAATTTTCTCCCTAGCTGTATAATTTTCAGCGAGTTATTTAACCTCTTTTTGCCTCAGTTCCTTCTGTAACTGGAGATAATAATAGAACCTTCTTCATAGGACGTGGTATTATATTAACATGAGTTACTATAAGTAAAATACCCAGAAAATTGTGTAGCACACAGTAAGCACTCTATAAAAACTAGCATCATTATTGCAGGTGTTTTGCTTAAATTTAACTTAAAAAAAACTTACATAAAGTATTTTTATCTTTTAACGAGAATAATTTGGATAAAAATCACATTCCATCTTTGAATCACTGAAGAAAATGATAAAAAGTTCTTTATAAGATTTATTAAATCAAATGCCTCTTCCTACGCTGTCTTCTGGATTTAGAACAGATAAAATATTTATGTTATATGTAAAATGGGAGAAAATCAAACCATTTTGAACTAAAACACATTTGTATTTCTCTATCTTATGCTATAGTTTACAGCTTATATTCTCACATTACTTGTGAAAATCACTGCCTTTCTCTCACACTTAATTATGAAAACAAACTTTTAAGTGTTGAACATAAAAACAAACAATAAAGAGCTAATATTCATTAAATGTGTCAGGATTAGATATCAAACTAACTAGTCTTCACCACCCCATGAAATAGGTATTATGTTTACCCCATTGTACAGCAGGGGCCCAGAGAAGTTAAACATACATATTGTGCAAGTAGCGGAACCAAGACCATGACCACCCTGTATATTGCCTCTCTGCACTCACTGAGCTCCTGCTGAGCTGACTGATCACACCAGTGAGGTAATCAGGTCATGGCTGCAAGATTAAAACTTCAGAATCTATCATTTCCTGCTGGAGTGTTCCTGTAAGCTAAATGGGCCGCCACCTGTTGATGTGGGATATCTAGAAATTTATCCTAAGGAAATAATCAGAAGTGTGGTCAATGATTTAGAATAAGGATGTTTATCAACTGGAAATTGCACAGGAAAGTGCTTATGATATGATGGTAAGTGAAAAAAGAAATGTTCATAAGTATAAATAAAAATATATGCTCCCATTTTATAGATGAGGAAACTGAAGCACAGAAAGGTCAAGTAACTAACTTTTAAAGACAAATAATAATAAGTAGCGAAGACTTGACTCAAATCCAAGATGTGTGACTTCAGAGTCCATCCATTACCAAGTCCATTCCAACCCCTAGCCACCCTGTATACAGCAGAGTGGAACCTTGCCCCATTTTTTGCACCATCCTCTCACCTTCTGGTGCCATATCAGACAATGCTCCCCTACTATTCACAGGGTTTTCATGGCCAATTTTTCAGAAGTGGGTGACGAGGTCCTTCTTCCTAGTCTGTCTAGTCTGGAAGCTCTGCTGAAACCCGTCCACCATGGGTGACCCTGCTGGTATTTGAAATCCCGGTGGCAGAGCTGTCAGCATCACAGCCACCACAGTGTGACAATGGACAGATGAGCGGTGTGGTTCCCTGACCAGGGAATGAAGGTAGGCCATGGGGTGCAAGCACCGAATCTTCACCACCAGGCCACCAGGCTGGCCGGCCGTTACCTTATACAGTTCATCATCTCCAGGGGATGGGATCATGTTTCATTATTTATTCTGCTTATTTGATTCTTTTTTAGTTATTTTTCTATTCAATAAGTATGATTTGATATTATAATCAGGAAAAAAGTTATTGCAAGACAAAATTTGAAAACCTCTATAAAATAAACAGTGAAGATAAATTTGCAAATCTAGTTATGCTCCATGCTGGTTATTATATTTCCTTTTAGCTTTGTATCCTTTTGCCAGGGCATGGTAATCCAAGCAACCTACAATAATCTTTCTCTACATAAATGGCAGTTCCACTTAAAGCTGCCACTGCCTCTAGAACTATTATATTAAGATGATGAATCAGGAAATTTGCATGAGTAGGCTGATGAGTTTGTCATTACCTAGTAGTAATGAAAAAATGTGTTCTAATTTTCCAAAGGCTCTGCGATGAATTTTTATTTATTTACTGTTGATTTGTATAGGGGATTTGATGTGGTGCTTTATGAAAGATAAATGAAGCAAGATATTTGCATGCAAAATGTCTTTTTTTATTTATCTTAAAACATTTTGTCAACTTCCTAACTGGTGGAGGAAGGAATACAAACATAAAAGTAATCACATTTGACAATAATTCCTAATGTGTCTATGACGTATCAGGTTTCTACATAGCACAGGCTCACCTGTTGTATCTTATTTGATCTGATCAATACTGATCTTACGGCTCCCCTTCCCCATCAAACCAAAAGTGAAGAAACTGATGTGCTATTTCAATTCACATGACCTTCTGATAATTCACAGCATATATGCTGTTGAATATAAATTCAAACCATCTGTTTGCCTAACAGCAAGTTGTTCATCTCAACATTAAGACCCACAGAGATAAACAGACCTCACAGGATCATACTATATTCAGACTCCTATTTCTACAAAGAAGGATCCCGAATAACCTGAAATAGCATTTTGGCTGTTTCTTTCTGAGTCATAAAAAGTGGATACAAAATGGGCTTTTAAAGATTTTCAAATCTTACTCTGTGGTTTTTCTAGAAATAAGTTATTTTTTGAAAATGGAAATAACACCTTTCATATCAAAATTGATTTTTCTGGAGATCTTTAAAATTTCTAAAATTTTTAAAACTCTCTCAAGTCTTCCAATTTTGGCAATACAGATTTATTTTTTAGCATTAGAAGTTCTAAAATCTCCCAGAAAGAAAACCAGCTACCATCTGCCTCCCCTTCCATACTCATCACTCTCCCACATCATATAAACAATATCTTCCTTCTTCACGTGTTCCTAAATTTTAGCATCTAAACTAATGAAAAGTGATAGTACTTCTAATCCTCAAAATGGCAATCCTGAAAGAGTCTTGACTGTCCCTTCCCTAGAGGATGAGGACTGTATATCAATGAGATTTATACCTAAATTACTTAAGTAATTTGGCTAGTCTAAAATGTCTAGAATAGGGCCAGCCCCATGGCTTAGTGGTTAAGTGCACGTGCTCCGCTACTGGCGGCCCGGAGTTTGGATCCCAGACGCGCACCAATGCACAGCTTCTCCGGCCATGCTGAGGCTGCGTCCCACATACAGCAACTAGAAGGCTGTGCAGCTATGTCATACAACTATCTACTGGGGCTTTGGGGGAAAAAAAAAGGAGGAGGATTGGCAATAGATGTTAGCTCAGAGCCAGTCTTCCTCAGCAAAAAGAGGAGGATTAGCATGGATGTTAGCTCAGGGCTGATCTTCCTCACAAAAAATAAAACAAAATAAAATAAAAAAATAAAATAAAATAAAATGTCTAGACTAAACATCTAAAATAGAAGCACATTGGTGATCCTAGGCCAAATACATTTTGTTAGGCCTGCCCAATGTTTTAAAAAATCTGAGCCAATATTTAGATACTGGGAGAATGTAGATAAAAATCAGGAGCTCCATCAACAGTTCAGTCCACCTTCCTCCAAGGCTGAGTTCATGCCCGGCTGAGCCAAGGACTGAGCACCGCCCAGCGCCCACTTATACAAGCAAAGCGAGCCCTGTTCACTGGGCGGCCTCTTCCATCCACAGGGCCTTCAGGGATCTGAGGCATTTGAGTGTGTGACTCCTAGTTTAAAAAAAAACCAAGAAATCAATACAGAAAAGGGAAAAAATAGTATTTTTTTATACCATGGAAAATTTTCTGAAGTTTCCTGTAAAACAAATTTCTGTAAAACTAATTGCTTAGTGTGCTAGGTATGTTATTAAGAAAATCCAGTTTCAAATCTGTAAAAATATAATAACCTCATATGGAAGTTGTGGAGCCAAACAAGTTAATATTTAAATAACTCTTAGCTTACCTATTTCACCATCATTGTCATCATTACTATTGATTGGGCCTCCATATTAAAATCCCATCCCTCAAAAACATTGATATCCTCCAGGGTCAGAAACACAAAAATTAAACTCGGGCATGGCATTCAAGCCATTGGACGATATGGCCTCAGCCTACCTTCCTAGCCCACCTCCCACCAGTTCCACCACGGAGGTGTGTGCTCTGTGCTCGCCACCCTCAGCCCTCCGGACACTTGCCAAGCACTTGCACCTTCTGGTCTTTGCTCCTGCTTTCTCTCTCCAGCCTGAACTACTCACTTGCTTTCTCAACCTAGCAGAATCAGCCTTCAAAACCAAGTACAAGTGTCAAAACCAGTTAACACTTTTTAACAGGTGCCTCTGTTAAAAACAGGCGGAATGAATCCCTCCCTCCATTAAGATGCAGTCTTCCACACTACACTATGAGTATCCAGGAAGGCAGAACAGTCCCCATTCATCACTGTAATAGGGTTTCTGGTACTAATTAGGCATTCAGTAAATGCTTGTTTTATTGGATGTAACACTGATTGGCCAGGTTTCAAAGCCCTTCGAAAGTGTGTGGGTGCAGACATGTAGTTTTTGGCAGATATATGATACAAATGCAGCTCTCTGTCACTTGTTTTAACCAGTTAAAATAGTCATTTCCAATGACTAAATCTTAAAAATTAGTTAACATCCAAGAAAAGAAAATCCAAATCTATTGATATATGAGTATTAACAAGTCATTTGCAAATAGAAAAACCGGGCAAAGGGTTTAAAAAGGTAGTCCACATAAAGAAAAATACATACAACCATATTTATTACTTAATAATCATATAAACAAAGGGAGATATCATTTTTCTCTCACTAGATTGATAAGATTCAAATTTTATAACACATAATACAAGAAATAGCTTATTAAAATTACACTCTTACAACGTGTTGACATGAATTGGGACAACTTGGAAGGCCACTTTGGCAACATTCATCAAAATGCTAACTATGAACACACTTTGACCCAGCAACTCCACATTTAGGAATTTATCCAACAGGTATACTCACGCATTTGAGGGGTGGGGAGAAGCTATGTTTGAAGATATGTATTAAGACAAAAATGAAATTAAGAAATTCTATGTATAATCACATCGAAAAGAACAAAATACTAAAAAATTTAAGAAGTGTAAGACTTATAAACTGAAAACTACAAAACATCATTAAGAAATTAAAGAAGACCTAGAGACAGCCCTGATGGCCTAGTGGTTAAAATTCCAAGCTCTCCGCCTCAGCAGCCCGGATTCGTTTCCCAGGCACAGAACCACACCACCCATCTGTCAGTTGCCATGCTGTGGTGGTGGCTCACATAGAAGACCTGGAAGGACTCAGAAGTAGGATATACAACCATGCACTGGGGCTTGGGGGAGAAGAAAAAAAAAAGAGGAAGATTGACAACAGATGTTAGCTCAGGGCAACTCTTTCCCGGCAAAAAACAAAAACTAAGAAGTTAAAGAATACCTAAATAAATGGAAAGACATCCTGTGTTCATGGATTGGAAAACTTAATTTTGTTAAGATGGCAATACTCTCCAAATTGATCTCCAGATTCGAAGCCATCCTTACCAAAATTCTACTTAGTCGTTGCACAAGTTGACAAGCTTATCATAAAATTCATTTTTAGGGACTCAAATGCAAGGGACTCAGAACAGGCAAACATATTTATTAAGGCAATGTTTGTGATAGAAAAGACTAGAACACAACCTATCTGCTTAGGTAACATACCCAATCAATTAGGGCACTTCCACATCACAAAATCCTCTGTGTCTAGCAAAAGAAGCTGGAACTTATATGCTGAATGTAAACACTGCTACATACATATTGTTTATTCAACCACTCAACAAATATTTGCTGAATGCCAACGTGAGGCATTATGTGTTAAGGGAAAAAGCCAAGGTAGAGAAAATACATATAATATGCTCCCATTTGTGTGTGTTTTTGCACATGCACAAAAACTGTTGGAAGGATCCATAAGGAACTATCCATAGCAGTAACCTCTTGGGAGAGGGACTTAGTGAATTGCTACCACACACACTTTTGTACTGACAATTATTGGACATGTTCATAAGTTAATTTCTCATTAAAAATAGTTAACACAAAATCAAATCATATATGCAAGCATACAATATATGAAGGATATAAAGTTACAGAAAGAAGAAAAGTAGCACAGAATCAGTGTCATGATAAGCATGTATGCCTTATTTGAAGTGTAAGTTTTCTATATTCCACACTTAAACATGAGCTATATTTATAATGACAATGAAATATTACCATATCTATTTTTTTGGAGTTTCTAAGTATCTGTTGGTTTAGGTCAGAATGAATATTTTTTTAAATCAAATTTACCCCAAATCAAATGCACATAATAAGTGCTTTGCAAACTGGGCCTTAACTGTTGTATAAAAATGTAAGCTTGGTAAAGACCAGACAATCTTATTTTTCAAAGGATGACAGTGATAGCTAGATGGACATGCTACTTGACGCTGCAGTGCAGAAAAGGATAGTCCTGCAGAATGAAGAACTGTCCCATCCACTAACGCCAATAGTGACCCTACAAACTTGAAAAGAATTGAAGAGCCCAAACTCTACCCACCCCCACGGCTTGCCACAGGTCACGTGACGCTCATTCTCTGTGCCTGTGTGGATTGCTTGAGCACCTCTGCCTGCTCCTTCACTTAAACAGGGCACTGCAGAGGCCACTGATAGTCTAAGCTCCCGCAGAACACAGATCTTGTTGCCACAGCAACTTGAAGGTAAGGCTGAGCAAATATAAAAGAAAGCTAGCTGGACTCCAAGCTCCAGGGGCTAGGCTGAATTACGCAGTTGTTGCCAGGAGCAAGACAGAAATTACACTTTTGAGTAATGATACATCTTATAGCGATGAACATGAGTTCTTGAAAAAGTAGTTGCTCTGTGCTACAGGGTGTACTTCTCATTTTTATTAAGTTCTTATTTGTCTGCAGTCAGATGTGGACCAAACAGCTGCTTCCTCATTACTACACAATAAAGGGAGATGAAATCAAAGAGATAAATTAGCACGCAATCTGAGATTTTCAACTGAGATCTTTAGTCCTGCTTGCCTCTCATTCGAGTCACCTCTTGTTGATCCCTATCATGTTAGCCAAAACGAACTACTATCTTTTTTGAACCAAGAAATAGAACCTCTGCTCTTGAAAAGGGTTTGTTTTGATTTGGGAATTTGCTTATACGAAAAAGTATTGGAGATAAACGTGGTATTAGGATTAGGATACAGTTAACACATTTGTTTTTAGCAAGTTTTTACTGAGCATCTACTATGCCTCGGGCGCTGTTCCAGGCAATGGCAATACAGCAGCCAGCAAAACAGATGCAATATTCTACCCTAAGAGAGATTATCTTTGAGGGAGGGGGATAAATAAACGAAGTGAAATACATAGTATACTAAAAGCCAATATGTCCTGTGGGAAAAAATAAGGCCTAGAATAGTAGACTGTTGTATTTTAAATAGAGTGGTCAGCGAAGGTCTCACTGAGGTGACACTTGAGCCAAGCCCTAAAGGAGCTGAGGGAATGAGTCACATGGTTCTTTCAGGCAGAGGGAAGAGTGAGAGCAAAGGCCCTGAGAAGGAAGTGTGCCCAGCACACTGAGGAAGAGTGAGAAAGCCAGTGCCACTGGAAAAGAAGGAAGGAGGGAAAGAGGGGCAGCAGGTGAGGTCAATGAGGTTAAAGGGACTGGACCGTGCAGGCTGAGTCAACCACTATGTGGACTTAGGCTTCTACTCTGAGTCCGGTGAGAAACATCTCCAAAGTTTTGAGCAGAGGATTAACATGATCTGCCTCAAGTTTTTAGAGGATCCTTCTGGCTGCTAAGCTGAGAATGGAACGTAGGAGGCAAGGCTGGAAGCAGGCAGACTAGGTATGATGCTTTTGTAGCAAGCCAGGCAGGAGATGACGACGGCTTGGATGCTGATGCCAGCATCAGGAGGGGAGGGAAGTCAGCAAATAAAATTACTTGCAGATGGGATCCAGAAAATGAGAATGTAATGAATTATCACCAGACCTAATATTGCCTGGTCCAATTATTTCCTCTAGCCTCAAAGCCCAACCTCAGCACACCTTGACCTATTTCCCTAAAAGCTGAAAAGAGGTCTTTCACTTTACTGAAAAGATAAGGCCAGTTGGCTGAGAGAGCCTTTTGCACCTCTCTTACCTTCACCTCAGTATCTGTGTTACCGTTTGCATTGCCTTTTTGTTTTAGGAGTAAGGTCTAACTGTGAGCTAGAAGGAGAGCGACACCGTCAGACAGAAGGCCTTAGTTTAGGGGAGAAACAAGGAGAACAGCAGAACTCAAGACGAGACAACACTTGCCACATGCATTTAACACGTGAATTGGCCTGAATTCAGAAGCCAACCAGCTGGAAGAGGTAGAAGGGGAAAGCTAAAGATGACTGAGTTTTCTAGTTTAAATAGCTTCGAGGGGAGTGATGCTATGACTGAAATGACTGGGTTGACATGAGAAGACCTAAGTTGGAGAACTGAAGATAAGGAGTTCTGTATTAGAAATGCCGTACCTGGAATACCTGTGGAATATTCAGGCGGAGATATCTAATCTGCAGTTGGAAATACGATTTTGAAGCATAGAGAATAAATTGGGGCTAAAGGTAAATGGCAACATCATTTCAAGGACTGTGAGAGCCTACAGTTCTATCATGGCTTTTGTGATGCAATGCAGTGTGGGAGTTTCCCCAGACTGGAAGGGATCAAAGAACAGTTGTCTCTTGACTCTTAACTATCTTCACCCAGCCACTCCTGATCTGAGTGAGTCATCACCTTAGGAAGGGAAAAACGTAGGACAGCTGAGACTGCTGATGATCTTCCACCTGGCATTTTCTTTAAAAACTAAGGGCTGCCAAACATCAATGGAATGCCTTCTAATATGAGCTGTAGGAACCCTTGGCTAACTTGAGAACTCCCCTCCTCTTTTGATGTGTTTTATAATGACCTGGGAAATAATCTGAGATCTAGATTTTTTCTTTTTTTGTGTGTGTGACGAAGACTGGCTCTGAGCTAACATCTGTTGCCAATCCTCCTCTTTTTGCCAAGGAAGATTGTCCCTAAACTAACATCTGTGGCCATCTTCCCCTATTTGGCACATGGGATGCCGCGACAGCGTGACCTGCCGAGTGGTGTGTAGGTCCACACCAGGGATCCAAAGCCATGAACCCCGGGCCGCCAAAGCAGAGTGCGTGAACTTCACCACGCCACCAGGCCAGCCCCGAGATCTAAATTTTTTTAATATTGCAAAGTTAGCTTTATAGTTTCGGGAGGGAGTTTGTTTTGACATTTCTTCACATGCATATCTGAGCTACAAGGCTACCATTCATCCACGTGATTCCCTCTAGTGACTCTTTCACTTCCTCTTTCTCTTCACCTAATACATCCCATCACCTAATACATCCCTTCCATCCCCATATCCCATGCATTTTACCTCCCCAGTATCTTTCCCCTCCACCCACTGCCTGACTTCAAAGGCCCATTTCTCCCGTCATGCACAAATACTGAGGGCCTACGCTACGTCATCTCTTATCTGGTCTCCAGCCTCCAGTCCCTCAACGCAACCCATCTGCAATGCTGCCCCAAGAGTACTGCAAACCTGCTCAAAGTACTTCTCTCCTTAGGGTCCTCCAATGGCTCCCAGCAGCTGCAGGAAGTCCAGATTCCTTAGGGTCACATAGCACACCAAGTCCTCATGCCCTGGCTCTTGTCCATCTCTCCAGCCTCATCTCCCTCTGCTTTCCCCTCTTGAAATTGACACTCAGGAAAACAAAATACTCAGGATTCCCCAAACACAAACTGTCTCCTACTTTCCTATCTTTAGACAAATTGATCCCCACCATCACCCAACATTCATCACTCAAAGCCAGCTCTGAGATTTCCATGCCTTCCCTAATACTCCCAGACAGAATTCACATTTTCACCTCCACCTCTGTAACTTAATCAAAGTATCTATATACCAGTTTAGAAATTCCAGTGGCCATTTAACATGTTCAAGACATCACTTAACCCCCTCGTCCCTCCAGCCCCCCCTCATAAATGCCCTCTCTCAGAGAGTAGCATTTCTATTAGCTCAGAGGCCAAAGATAGAAACCTGGGCTTCATCTCACACCGCAAATCCAAACCACTAAGTCCGGTTCATTGTAGTCCTAAATAGCTCCAACGCTGCCCTTAGTTCAGACTCGCAGCACTTTTGTTTGGACTTCTGGTCTCCTCATCTCAATTCTGATCTGATGATATCACTATCCAGCTCACAATTGTGATGGTGCCATATCATCTCCTCAGCATGGCCCAATCTTCTATTGGGCCCCCCACCACCAACCAATCACCAAGGTCTGTCAATTTACCTCCTAAATACCATCGACTTCAAGTCTCTCTGCATACACTGCCATTCCCCAGTTGAGGCTGCCATGGCCTCTCACTGGGAGAGAGGATTACCAGGTTTGACCATTTGCCTCCACTCTCGCCCCTGCTCCCAGTGGGTCACACAAAGGTCTCATTCCCAGTAGAACTGAGAGCAACTTGAGAGCAGTGTTCCTATTTTTTAATATTTGCATCCCCAGTGCCAGGCACTCGGGCCAGGCACAGAACCAGTTCTGAATAAACGTTTGTTGTGTTGAACCTAGTAAGTAACAGCACAGTTTAATACAGCACTTCATAAATAGGATGTATGACAAATGAAACATTTCTCTTCGTTCTTGGTAACAAAAATATTCCAATTAGGGGTTTTAATTGTAACAACTTGTATTTGCACACAAAAACATGCTGTTCCCTGGAACAACCTCCCACTTCACAGATGTGCAGACTTCTCTTCTGCCAGGAATTCAAACTCAAGCCTGCATCTGCCAGGAAGGCAACAGACCACATTAACTAGGGCCTCTCTTGCCTCCAAACTCTGATCCTCAAAACTTCCATTTTTCTTAAGCAAAGGAATGCAAAATTGTCAGACAATTAATTTTTAAATGAGTTCCCTTTCTCCCTCTCAAACTGTATCGTCTAATAGTATAAGAGCTGGGATAGGCTCTGTGGACCTTTTTACCACAATTGTAATGATTTTTTTTTTTTTTTTTTAAAGATTTTATTTATTTTATTTTTCCCCCCAAAGCCCCAGTGGATAGTTGTGTGTCGTAGCTGCACGTCCTTCCAGTTGCTGTACGTGGGACTCGGCCTCAGGATGAACGGAGAAGTGGTGCCTCGATGCGCACCCGGGATCCGAACCCGGGCCACCAGCATCGCAGCGCGCGCACTTAACCACCAAGCCACAGGGCCGGCCCCACAATTGTAATGATTTGTGTTAAAAAAAATTTCTGAAGACTTTTCTGCCTGACAGAGCTGTTGCAGGATTCAAATGAGAAAGTTCTTCGAGAAGGGATGAGAAAATATACACTTCTTTTACAAAGACCTATAACCTAAATCTTTACAGGAAAAGAAAATAGTATCAACAAAAACCCTAGCCTTGAACTAACCTCACTTTCTAAAAGGAAGTTCCCTTACTTGGCTCACTAGACCATTTCCTTGTGTTCACATTTGGAATTTGTCCACATTTTTCAAAAAAGAACACCATGGCTGCCCATTCTTATCGAACTGAAAAAAGTTTTTTCACAGTGGGCAGATTAGTTTTTCCACTTGGCTAAGGAAACCCGCTTTTTGGTTTAGTTTAATTTATTAAGATTTTTAAATTTAGTTGGAGGAAGAGGTTGTCTTGGATAATATTGCTTCTTTTTATCTTTCTTTTCTTTCTTCCCCTCTTCACTTGCAAAATTTACTTGCATTATGGGTTCAGTGGAGAGATGTTGACGGAACAAAAGTATACGGGGAGACAGAGGTGGAAGCCAGCCCCTGATTCGTCCCTACTGGCATTACATCTAGGAAGTGGAGTCTAAACAGCTGGGGTTTCTTTCTTATTTTCTTTTCTTTTTATGTGAATATGTTTGTGTTAATGTTTAATTGCACAACATACATGAGTGAATTTTCTTCATTAAAAAAAGGACTGCAGATAAGGCCAATGCTCCCTACCGGCCCCACTCTCTCTCACTCCCCAAAAAGAAGTACCCTTCTCTTTTTCTACCCATTTACACACAACTTTGAAACTTCCAGGAATGTAAAACTTTACACACACACACACACACACACACACACTTTTCCCCTTCTTAACCCCAGTGCCTCGGTTCCTACTCCCCCGCGTTGCCTTGCGCCCCAGGACCCAGGGCCTCTCTCCTGCACCTAGGGTCTCCCTGTCCTCTCTCCTTGCGCCCCAGCCAGCACCTCTTGTCCTCTCTCCTCTCTCCAAGGGACCCCTGTCGTCGCTCCCCGTGCCCTGGAACTCCGAGTCCTCGCTGTGCGCTCCTCCCCGCACCCCGGGCCCCCCGGGCTTTGCTCTGCGCTCCCCCGGCCGCCGCCCCAGAAGCGGGCACGGGCGGGCTGCTCGCAGGGGCAAGCCAAGCCCTGGGCCCCTCCAGAGCCGCCTTACCCGCCGAGGAGCGAAGCCCCGAACAAAGAAAACCGGGCCTCGCAGCGCCATGGCGAGCCTCCAGACCTTAGCCCGGAAACCCGCCGAGTGCAGGGGGCGCGCCGGGATGGCCGAGCTCCGGGCCGGGCGGAGGCGGGGCCGGAACACCCGCGCCCAGTGACAGCAGGTCGGAGTCCCAGGGCGCTGCCGGGCTCTGCCTCTCCGACGCTTTTGCCTTCTCTCTGTGCCTCTGCAGTCCCGGGGAGTTGTGTAGGGCGAGGAATGGCGGTTTCGACGTCCTTGTGGGGGTGAACAAAGCAGTGCGCCAGAAAAGGGTTGCAGATGGCAGAAACACGCGCCACATGCACACTGCCCACCGAGTGCTAGCGCCTTTACAGTAATTTATGTTTATTCCTTAAGTGCACGTGTAAGTTCGTGGTTGGTGTGGCGCTGAGTCACACATCATCACAATAATAATATGTTGGATTTAAAACAAGGCCTCACTTTTCCTAAGGCAAAGCTGCTGAAATCTAAGAAAAGCAGCAGCTTCCGTTGGCTTTGACTCTTTGCGGAACATACAGCCGCCCCTTAACGCCAAGAGGCAATGCAGCTCTGAGCGTCCTGCTTTTGCTTTCTCTCTCTGAGGGGTTAATAATACATAAATTAAGAGCAAATGCAGACCTTTAGTTAATCATTCTCCATCTTAGTTTAAGGTACCTGTTGACACGCTGCATAAGCTCAGATCACATTTCTTTCTTCACTTCTAAAATGTGAATATTCATACCTAACTCAGGATTATTGTGAAGATTAAATGAGGATGTATGTGAAACCCCAAACTCAGGCTGATGCTAAGTGACAGAGAAGGTTTACTAAGCGCATGGCATCTTCTAAATGCTGAGAAAGAAAAAATAATCAACCCTTGACATTCAGAACCTTTCCTGGCACTCACAGGCAGACCATGCTAATCTCCTATTAGACATAAACCATCTCACAGAATACCAACCTCAGACAAGGTCAGAGATCTTGAGGTGAGACAAAGCAAGTCAACGTCATAATTTTGTCTGAGCACAGACAAAAGCAAATACACGGTGTCACTCCAAAAATACCTAACAACCCGTCTCTTGGCCAAAATGAGTGACTATTTATCAATTACAACTCTAACCTCATTCTAGTCTCCCCTCACTATAGATAAGATTTACTGAGGTCCCCCTTCATAGAATTGCCGGTGCTTTCTGACAGCATCCGATCTAGAGTGAATCCCCACTTCCTTAGATAATCTCCCAAATCATCCAACCAAAATCCAAATCCTATCATAGTTTCTTTCTAACACCCTTTTACTGAGACACTCCATGGTTTCCCATGATGTGTGTCCTCCCTCCCTGCAAAAAATAGTAAACCTGACTGGTTCAACCATAGGTGTGTCCCTGGTGATCTTTGGCTGGAGGGCATTGACAGTGCTCTTACAGTATTAACTCCTTGTCTCAGGTTGGGTTCCCTCAGAGCAGATCCTGGGATAAGGATCCCGTGCAAATGACTCATTTGGCAACTTTGGGAAACAACAGTAGGGAAGGGAGGCAGGCAATACAGGGTAAGTTAACCAGCCAGCTATGCAAGAGCCAGTGCCTCAGGGGAATCTCTGGGAGAAGTTGGAATTTGTGTCCCCCCACCATTCACATGTTGAAATCCTAGTATTAGGAGGTGGGGCCTTTGGGAGGTGATTAGGTTATGAGGGTAGAGCCCTCATGATGGAGACTAGAGCCCTTGTGAAAAAGACCCCAGAGAGCTAGCTTACCCCTTCCACTCCTTGTGAGGATACAACAAGGAGTCAGACTGCTGGGTGTTTACTGCAAAGAGCATGAAAACGCAAATGCGTAAAGATACGTGCACCCCCGTGTTCGTTACAATATTATTCACAATAGCCAAGACTGGGAAGCAACCTAGGTGCCCATTAAGGGACAAATGGATAAAGATGTGGTATATATACACAATGGAATACTACTCAGCTATAAGAAATGATGAAATCTCACCATTTGTGACAACATGGATGGACCTTGAGGGTATTATGTTAAGTGAAATAAGTCAGAGGGAGAAGGTCAAATACCCTGTAATCTCACTCATAAGCAGAAGATAAAAGCAACAACAAACAAACACATACAGACAGAGATTGGATTGGTGGTTACCAGAGGGGGAAGGGAGAGGGATGAGGACAAAAGGGATGATCAGGCACGTGTGTGTGTGTGTGTGTGTGTGTGTGTGTGTGTGTGTGTGTGTGGTGATAGATTGTAATTGGTCTTTGGGTAGTGAACATGACGTAATCTATACAGGAATTGAAATATAATGATGTACACCTGAAATTTATATAATGCTGTAAACCAATGTTACTGCAATAAAAAAGAAAAAAGAAAAAGAACTGTCCAAATACACACAGAAAAAGAAGTCAGCAGTCTGCAACCTGGAAGAGAGCTCTCACCAGAACTCAACCATGCTGGCACCCTGATCTTGGACTTCCAATTTCCACAACTGTGAGCAATAAGTTTCTATTTATGAGCTGCTCAGTCTATGGTATTTTGTTATAGCATCCTGAATGGACTAACACACATTGCCTCAGAGAAATCTCATCTGAGGGATGAGGGAACTGGGGTATTTACACACCAGTCCCTTGTCAGTGGCTGAGGGCTGCTGGGGGTGGGTGTTGATTCCTCAACCCTTCTGGCCTGTGGGCTTGGCATCATGGCTTCAGAGAAAGATCTCAAGAAAGGAGATGCAGACACTGGCAGTTGAAGGTAGATGGTGCCCTGAAGTGATAAGGCCTAAGGGATATAACAGTGAGATGCCCCATTGTCAACTTCACTTGTTTAATTCTCATAACTCTGTAAGGTGTATATGATTCCTTTCCCTATTTCACAGAGAGGTGTATAACAGAGCAGCTGAGGAACTTGCCTCAGACTGCACAGCCCACAAGCAGCGGAGCTGGGGTGGGACTGTAGCCGTCTAGCTCTGTATCACTGCCGTTGTTGTCTACTGCTGCACCACAAATTACCACCAAGTTAACTGTGGCAAAAGTCTGACTCCATGTTTTGATATTTGACTGCTGATAACTTTTAAGCCTCACCCCTCTCTTTCCCTTGTGTCTCATGTCCCAGATCTGGGCAAGGTGATAAGAAAGCCCAGATACTCCCTCCTTTGGCACAGGCAGCCAAGCTCCTTCTCACACATGGATACCCTCATTCCAGCCTCAGCCCCTAACCACAATAAAAACCCAAGCCACTCTTTTCTTCCTTTTCATATTAATGTTCCATGGCTGCCATAGCAAAGTGCCATACTTTCAGTGGGTGACTTAAACAATAGAAATTTAATTTTTCTCACTTCTGGAAGCTAGAAGCCTGAGATCAAGATGTTGGCAGAATTGGCTTCTTCTGAGGCCTCTCTCCTTGGCTTGTAGATGGCATCTTTTTCCTCTGACTTTACTCTGTACATTTTTGTGTCCAAATTTCCCCTTCTTATAAGGACACTAGTCATATTGGAATAGGGCCCACCTAATGACCTCATTTTACCTTACTTACCTCTTAAGATCCTATCTCCAAATATGATCAAATTCTGAGGTATTGGGGTTAGGACGTCAACAAATTAATTTGGGGGGGACACAATTCAGCCCATAACACTTACTCTCTCAAACTATTTTCAGACCAGCTTGGGAGGCCTGATTTATCTTCCCAAAAAGGCTCATTATATAAATAATAAACCTTTCATATTCTCTTGGTGTATGTGTATGTGTGTGGGTGGCTACATCAGTCTTGACATCCAAACCAAACTTTGGGTGGAAGTCCATCTTGTTTCCACAGATAAGTTACAACATTAGTGTTTTAAAACAACATACACTTATTATGTCATAGTTTCTATAGGTCAAGAGTCCAAGTATGGCTTACCCAGGTCCTCTGCTGAGGCTCTCATAAGACTGCAATCAAATTGTCCACTGGGCTGTGTTTTCATCTGGAGGCTCAACTGAAGAAGAATCTGCTTTCAACTCAAAATTCATTTCTTTGTGCTCATATGACTGAGGGCCCCAGCATCTGCTGGCTGTTGACTGGAGGCCACCCCCCGCTTCTAGAGGTCGCTTGCAATTCCTTTCTATGTGGGCTTCCTCAGTGTCACTGCTTATTTCATCAAGCCAGCAAGGAGAATCTCTCACCTCAGGGAGGACCCAGTCCCTCGTTTAAGTGAGGCCCACCCAGAATAATCTTAATCTCCTTTTAATTATGGTGATCTAGCCGTTAAGATTAAGCGTTCTCACCATCATAGCCTGGGTTTGTTTCCCAGTCAGGGAACCACACCACCTGTCTGTCAGTTGTCATACTGTGGTGGCTTCATGCTGCTGTGATACTAAAAGCTATGCCATCGGTATTTCAAATACCAGCAGGGTCACCCATAGTAGACAGGTTTCAGCAGAGCTTCCAGACTAAGACAGACTAGGAAGAAGAACCTGGTCACCCACTTCTGAAAAGTTGGCCATGAAAACCATATGAATGGCAGCAACACTGCAAAAAAGACCAGGCAGAGTTCTGCTCTGCTATACACAGAGTTGTTAGGAGTTGGAATCAACTTGACGGCACTAACAACCTTTTGATTAACTAAAAATCGACTGACTTGGGACCTCAATTACATCTACAAAATCCCTTCACCTTTGCCATATTCTATTGGCTAGAATTAAGTCACAGGTCCCATTCATACTCAAGGGGAGGGGATTATACAAGGTGTGAATACCAGGTGGTGATCATGGGGCAGGGGTCATCTTAGAATTCAGCCTCCCACAACCACTATGCTATACATGGGAAGGAAAGGAGGTTGCAGACGTTTTAGGTAGACCCACACTCTACCGCCAGTCAGAGGGGAATAGCTGTATAATACATTTAGGCAGGCTAGACATTGGGTACTCAGCTTAACTGTTGGTGCCCAAGCTTGGTACACCTTTGCAGAAACTAGGGCTTCAAAGGAACAAGCCAGCTGGAGAAAATATAGCTACCATGAACTGAAAACCAAAGAGGCCTCCCCAAATGCCTGT